AGCAGCAGCATGTATGGTGCGTGCCGTCAGGACACGTTTGGGAGAAGGGGAAAAAAAGACGTGCTCGGGTCAGGGTTGGGCTCGGGCCGATAATTCTGATAAGCTGTCGGACACGGGCCGGGCTAGGGCCTGAGCGTCTCGGGCCAGGGCCGGGCTAGGGCCTAAATTTGAGGCTCGTTCAGGGCTCTAGCAGACGGAGTACGTGTAAATTTGGCGCAACAAATCTAGTTCAACATCTGAGGCAACACCACAAAGAGCTCTATGACTACTGCATGGCAAAAAAAATCCCTGGACACGGGATATATATATATTTTTTTTTCTGCCATAGAGACATTTTGTTACACCTTTACTTAGTGATTATTTTGCTTATGTCACATGTTATAGCTTTTTGATAAAAAAAATATTTTTACCTTACTTTCTCAACGACTCCCAAACGATTCGCTCAACGATTAATTTTTCCAAACCCCTCCTTTGTGTGACGCTGATCTGCGGTGATTGGTCCGATTGGATCTCGTCTGTAATGCCTGATAAAGCAGCGTTTGTGAGCGCAGTGCTGCTTTGTTTACAGCCGTTACCGGGGAAACAGTGCTCCAAAAGCGGCACCTAGTGGCAAAAAATGAATTTGCATTTTCATTCTGACCCACCTGAAAAAACCAACAAGTGGGCGGGCAATATGCTAATGTTTCATGTTGACCAACTTGGGATTAGTTTTAAAAACGACTCGTTTCTATGATTCAGAGTCGACTCTTGCTTTTGAGAGACAATAACTTTATACACAGTGCACTTTCACATTTAACACTTTGCAGGATGTTTTCATTCACTTGGAGCTGTGTTACACACTGCATGAAAGGCAATTTTCAAAAATGACAGCGATCAAATTTCTCTCACCTGTGACCGTCACGGTGACGAGGATTACTCCTGTTGAGATTTCAGCTGTGTAAGTTCCTTCATCACTGGATGTGAAGTTTTTAATGGTCAGGCGGCCGTTCTTGTCAGTCAGTCGATCAGTCAGGACGCCCCGTTCTCTCCTCCACACCTCTTTCCAGCCAGCTTTTGTAAAATGCTCAACACTCTCAGCCTCATGCGGCAGATCATCGAACATCAGCTCTTTGCCTTTCTGTCCTGTTAAATGAACTAAGGAGAAATAAATCAAGAGCATAATTGTGACATTGCGCTTTTATAATATTGATGGCGTGTGGTATTACACTGGTGTAACGTAATATGAAATACACACTGATACTAAATGAAAGCAACAAAAAGCTAAAATCAATAGGGGTGTGCGAGATATATCGTCTGCGATAACATCGTAATTGTTGTTTTAACGATGTGCGATTTGACATTATCGAGTATTTTGCAAAAACCATTCAAAACACATCTACAGGATGCATGCATTCATTACGTGAAGCCTAGACTAGAGCGCATTTAGAGTGTGTTATTTCACTGCACTTTCACTACATTTAGAATGATCACAAAATTAAAGACATGGGGGCAGAAAATGTACTGTATATAGGCTATTTATACCACTTCATATAGCCCAGTTTATCAATTTCACATGGAGAGTAACGAAAAATAACACTCCAAAAGTCAGCATGATTACAAATGTGATAGTAATTTTTTACAACAGTTAATTAAGATACTTACGTTTTAGACACCATATTTCCTGTTTTTGTGCTATTTCGACAACAAAAATCACTCCAAACACAGCCACAGCGCTGTTTTGCGTCTCTGAGCAACATGGTGTTTCGTTCCTGAATGAATCAACCGTTTAAATGATTCGGTTCAATCGCAAAGACTCACTTATTAACAGTGGTTTGCTGCCACCTACTGGCGGGTTTAATTTCACATTCAAAGTATCTTTTATTATTTAAATAATTTCAAATATCGATATTTAACGTTTTATGTTTAATATATCAAAACAGTATTAATGCATTTGTAACGGCAGTTTAAATGCATTCATGTCCTGCATTAAACAGTGTGTAAATGCATCTAAATGCCACTTCAGATGCAGCTTCTGTGTTTCCTCTGCATTGCAAAGATTAATTTTGTTGATACTGATTTCATTTGCTTGGTAACAGCCCAAAAGTATGGAAGCCAGTTTCTGCCACTGAATAAAAAATTAAAAAGGTAATTGCGATTTTTTTATCTCACAACTGACTTTTTTTTTCTCATAATTGCGTGATACAAACTCGCAATTCTGACTTTTTTTTTCTCAGAACTGCATGATATAAACTCGCAATTCTGACTTTATAACACACAATTGCGAGTTTATATCACGCAATTCTGAGCAAAAAGTCAGAATTGCGAGAAAGTCGCAACGCAATTCTGACTTTATAACTCGCAATTGTAAGTTTATATCACGCAATTCTGTGATAAAAAGTCAGAATTGTTAGATAAAAAGTCGCAATAACCTTTTTGTAAATTCCGGGCTTCCAAAAAA